ATAAGTTCGCATTGTTTTTAAAATTCCTACGTAAAAAGTTTAAAAAAACTAAACATTTCACGAAAGCATTTGTTAGTTTTAAACAAAAAACTTTTTGTAAAACAAGCTATGCTATCTTTCATGTATTTTAGTAAAAACTATCTTTCGCCCGCGACTGTCTGCATCGCATCAAAAACAAACAAAAGTAAGTGTTCCTCCTCACTTTTCTCTACATCTATACTCTATACAAATCTTTTCGAGGTCCGTTCATCAGTTTAGGCTACAAACTCTAACAAACATCCATCTAAATGTCGCATTTATAACATTAGTAAGATTTACGACTGAAGTAAACTTTGCCACATCTGATATTTAAGAAATATGTTTCTACAAAGATAATATTACTGCATGTCACGTATCATAAAATTTTATCTCATTCATATTCAGCATTTCTGTATGTTCAGTAATCTATACTAATGTTATAAAGAGGAAAGATTTGTTTTTGTATGTATTTGATTCACTCAAAAACTACTGGGCCGATTATTAAAATTCTTTCACCATTAGAAAGGTATTTTATCTGTAAGTAACATAGGCTATATTTTGTATTATCTTTTAATTTCAGGCGAAGTCGCAAGCAACAGCTATTATGGAAAAACTAGCTGTTTCTGTAACTATGCGTGAAAATATAAAAAATCCCTTTGTTACTGCCACGCATAAACATTATTTCATAATTAAATTGTTTAAACTATCGTGACATTACTTTAGGTGAAAATTAAAAACGGCACAACTTACGCTTTTATTCTCCGGTGACGGCACCGACTAGTGTCAGACCCTTCGAGGGTCCTTCGTGTTATTTCAAAATTCCGCCAGTTTTGGTGTCATTAAAACATATAGACAATCGGTTTTATCTGTACAGATTGAGGGTAAATAAAACACATATTCAGTAACATAATCATTACATATTCTTTTCAAACTTTATATTTACAGTCAACATTGAAACGACTCTACAGTGTACACTGAACAGGTTCGTACGTATTTATATAGGTACATAGCTTATATACAAATATAGTACATAAAGTACGATAAATAACAAGTGAATACAACATTAGGTATACAAGAATCATTTTACATACACTTTCATACATCTATTGTTTACTTCGATTGATTTTTGTCGAACGAAATATTACAAACCAAAGACATTCAAACATAGAACAGGCATAGTTGAAAACTTGTATATTTTTATACTGTTTAGTAATATATTGATATAGTGCCTGTCTATATTTTTATAATAAAGCGTAAACACACACTTCTTTGTTACCTAAGATGTCAGCAATTATAGAATACTTTTGAATAATTCTTTTTTTAATAAAAAGCCCTACACTTGCGTCACGCTTTAGGCTATATATTTTATCACCAGTAAACTTAGGAGGTAAATATTTTGGATAAAAATCCTAATGTTGGAAAGAGACCATAAGTTGCTGCCAACATCAAGGAAGGTTGTCAACGTCATGTCATTTTGACATTTGTAATTGATAATATGACAGATGTAGACAATAAAATTTATTTACTATGCGTCCTCTATATTTTAAATGTCTTTGTTAGAAACATATGTACATATATTCTCACTGCTAACTCACATAAGGCATCATTGTAAACAGTGTTGAAATAATAATTTGATTTAATAAAACATTAAGGGCGGAATAATTCCAATTACAGCATAACAAAGAATATAAAAATCCCACCTCGGTGCCGCTTTCATAGACTTATTCATATATCGGGAAGTTTTTTTATATTTCAGGCTTTTTTATAGTCAGGCTATAGATTCGTTTATATTCAATAAAAAATATTTACAATAATATGAAATATTTTTCTATTTACTTAGACATTTATAATAAATACTGTAAGCTTTGAATCACTTTATGTTGCAAAATATTTAAACCAAAAATTTTACATACAAGGTCATATACATATTTTCACGCCATTGAATTTAGGGGCTAAATATTTTGGATAAAAACCCTAATGTGGGAAAGAGACCATCAGTTGCTGCCAACATCAAGAAAATAAGATTGCTAAGGTTTGTCATGTCATGTCATTTTGACATTTGCTATTGATAATTTGACAAATGTAAACAATAAAATTTTGATGGGGATGAAGCCGCACGGAACAGCTAGTAAATCCTATAAAAAACACATAAAGTAACATGAAAGCAAAATAAATAAGTTATACGGAATATTATGGGCCAGTAGTTGGAATTATTTACTTCAGAATTATATTTTATCCTTACTTTTATGACAAAAAAAAAGTTGAAAAATAAAAGGGCATAGTTAATATCGCAATATCAAAGATAACTTAACATATATACAATAACAAATAAATTCAATAGTCGATTTTCTATGCACAAAGTTATTTAAACTCGAGAATTAAATCGATTATTTAGGAATGCTTGAAAAATCTTTGGGAAAACTAACTTTTAATATAATTTTCAGTATCCGTTTATAATCTATACACGTTCTATTAAAAACATTTACAGCGTTACAAATAAACGCGGTATACAGTTAAATTTAGGAATAAACTGAGTATAAGAAAAATGAGTACTAAAATCTGCTTATACTCAGTTTATTCCTAAGTTTAACTTAATATTTTCAAATAAATTTGCATAATTACATAACGAAATAATAGTTCATTAACCTTAAAATATGTAAATCCCCTTACGCCATAAACCCCCATTTGTAAATCTAAAAAATATAGCCCAACCAAGAAAATAAAAACCCTGCGCCACTTTCTATACCAAGAAAGTTTCATATTTATCCCGCAAGATGGCGATTTACATAATTCTGCTCAAGTAATTGTAAAATTCACCAATATCGTTTAACTAGCATCCTACACAAAATAAGGGTCTGTCCCACAATTCTTTTAAATTCAGATAATCCAACGTATAAAATATGAGATGGAAATATCGGATTTTAGTACTCTGTGACGTCACTTTTAAGCTATCTGTGCCTCTATCAGCCAGTGGTGGGATAGACCCTTTAACATATATAAGTGTTAAACTATTTAACAAGTGAAATTAATAAAAGCAGATAACGGACACACGAATAAAACGTAACTACGTCTCGCTCTTTTGTATTGAAAATGAATCAATTAGAATGAGATAAAACTACATTGCGTTTAGTCACATATGAAAGCTGAACAGTGTGTAGTTATTTTAGAATCTAGACAAATAGACAGTCATGTTATATTTCAACAATTTCTTCAATAGTGTACAGTCACGGAAAACCGAGGTGTACCAGTTTTGAAAAATATCTCTTGTTACTTACAACGAAACAAATTCCACCTTTTAGTACAAAAAAATCATGTACCGTTCGACCTTTTTTGCTTAGATATTAAAAAAACTGCATCCTATAGGTTTCAACGTTCAAACAAATGTAGCATTTTAAGTAACACTGACAGATTCCCTGATTGTACTAAATTCAGTAACTTCACACTATCAAGCGATAGTACCAACTTAATATAAATCTCACTTTAATTTTTACTTAAATTTTTTCATACAATACAATAATTATATTTCAACCACACAAGATAAATTCTGTTGTCTACAATACTACGACCTACCCCCTACTAATTTAACAGTGAAATTGCCCCGACTTTCACAAGGGCAAGAATGTTTTCTACGTCCTATATATTGAAGTTTTCTGCAATTATATTCTTTTCAAGTTAAATTATGCTTATTTTTCACACGCCATGGTGTTAAGGCGAAGCGACTCAACGGTAATTAATGTGTTAAATTAAATTTTAAATTTATTCTAATAAATAAAGTGCGTTTGTTCTAATTTGAACTAACAAATGTGTAAAAGGGGGCGGGTCTTATTGTCTTATATAAAAATTAATCGACATATATAGTAAAGAACATTTCTTATATTAGGATAACGCGCTCAATTCCGAGGCAGTCTAGATATAGAATATTCAGTCACAGAGAACAGGTAAAGTGTCAACACTAAAACAGTATCTAAATTACAATTTACATAAGGAAGATATACATTTTTCACTACATTTGGTTAACTTTTATTTATATAGTTATATACAGTATACATTGTTATATAAAGGTTGAGGGCAACATCGAAATTACAAAATTTCCGATACTAGATAAGTTACGGCCGAATACTGACATTATTAAACATTTCGCTTAGTAGGCTCCGCTTACAATCTGACTGATGTCAAATTTTTTTAGGAGTAAGCATCGCCTTAAGACGCTATATCATGTTAAAATTTTTCGTATTCGACTGTTAGTAATAGTTTAATGAATAAATTAACAAAACTTATTAGAATTTTATATGTAAAAGACGTTATTTTGTGCAAATAGATATTTAATAATAAAAAGTGACTAAAGCGTTGAAATTTCTTGATCGCAACACTTTGGCACTTTTTAACTCTCTTTTGACCAGAAAAAATCGGTCCCAAGAAATATAGTGAATTATTTAAAAACACTAGTTCAAAACATTTTTACTTATAAGTGAAAAATAACATATTTTGAAAGTAAAGTATTCATTAACAGTTTTTTAAATGTATAAATGAATACTAACAAAGTAAAATAACAGCTGTGATGTTTTTGTGATGAAAATATCATAGGTAAAAAATAACCTCTCTAAGTTACAGTTAGAAATTCTTCACATTTGCATCAACACATTTTTAGTTTGAAACATTTTTTTATAAGATTTAGTTAATAACACCAAAGGTTTCGTCAAACGATAGATGTGATATCAAAATTCAAAAAATATACAGAGGAGGCAGTTTACATTTCATTTCCAACAACTTCTAATAGCGCCATCTATTGATGGCCTTAAAACCACAATTATTGTAATTAAATAACTTGCCAATAGATGTCGTTAAATAAAGTTTATGTGTTGGTTTACTTTATAACGAAAGATGGAGCTTATTATAATTTTCAAAATTATGTAAATACCGATGAAATGCCTCGTCTGTATATATTTGAAATATGTATGTTGGAGTTATAAGTGTGTGTGCGGTCAGAGGGCGAGGTCGGCGGCGAGGGCGTGCGGCGGCGCGAGGGGCGCGAGCGGCGCGGCGGGGTGCAGCGCGAGCGCCGCGGCCGCCGCGTCCGCCGCCGCCGCCGGCTCGCCCAGCGCCGCCAGCACCAGCGCCAGCCGCCGCCACGTGTCCGCGCGCAGCGGGCCCAGCGCGCCCGCCTCGCGCAGCGCGCGCTCCGCCAGCCGCAGCCATCCCAGCTCGTAGTACGCGGACCCTGCAATGCACATTTGTAACAGTGGTGGAGCCAGCTTTAAAAATCTTTGCACGAATGGATTGACTGGCCCAGTGAAATACCACGACCAGATATAAGACAGGCGTCAAGTGGGAGCAATTCTGCGTAGTCATATAGTCTTGCCGTAAGCCTAATTGTCCTTTTTCCTTTCCAATCTCTTCTTAAGAGGAAAGGATGGGAAGGAAAATGGATATGACGGTGGGGGATATGCATACGAAGGAGAAATATCCTGTTTATATGCGTCTCCTCTTCCGTCGATTAAGGGTAGGCAACGCATCTGCAATTGCAGATGTCTGTGGGCAGCGGTCGCTTCGCCATTTCGGTGGATTCACGTGGTCGCTAGATCGTTTCCCAACTTGTGATATAAAAAAAATCATGTCTGGTTCACTTGGCCAGCGCAGTTGGACAGTAGCGCTCAAAAACTATACTGTCACATATAATCTATGACTGACTGTCGCCACTGTCCTAATGTATTGGCTAAATGTTAACCTCGCATTAATATTATAGATCGGTGAGTGAACAAATTTTTTTTAACTAATAATTTCTATAAACAATGTCAGATTTAGTGCCACCTCGTGTTCATGTAATAAAACATTTCTAAAGATTGTAATTAACTCCCTCTGTTGGTAGTGTTAAAAGATATATTTAATATCAGTTGAAATATTTTTATCTGTTAACAAATATCGATATATGGCTGAGGATATCAACAAATAGAGTTTAATTTGTGTAAAATTATCCAAATATAGTGCTATTTAAGCAGTGTGTTTGTGTTGTTTCAGTAAGTGACTGACCGAGCTGCACCATGCTGTCGAGGTGCGTGGGGTGTATGGCGAGCGCGTTCTGGAAGCAGCCGCGCGCCTCCTCCCACTCGCCGCTGGCCGCGTGCACCAGCCCGCGCTGCACACACACACATCAAAACTGTTTCAAACATAAATATACATTCCCATACTTTTTTGGGTAGTACTGAAGAAACTACGATGTAATGAAAAGCATGATTACTGAGTTCACTCCCACATTGTAACACTTGACGGTAATTCCGTAGGGGGTTATAAGTGTTGTAAATAAGACCTGCTTTGAGATTCGAAGAAAGTGCATTGTACTGGGTGGTGAGAACAGTTTAAATGTGATATGCATTTTATAATTCAGTATTGTTCGAATCAAGAGAAAAATGTTGTTGAATAAAAATAATATCTTACTTTTATATACAAGTTTTTTTTTACAGGGGGCTTTGTCGATATATATGTATGTTGTAATATCAATTTAAATTACAATGAATATACACATACATATATATTTCATATACATTATTTATTCCACTCATTTGTGTGTTGACTGAAGTAAATCCTATCAATAAGTTTATAGAGAGGAGATTTTAATCGATGGATAATAAGACTGACCTCGACACACCAGGCATGTAGCTCCCATATCTGATAGTGCGTAAAGACAGTTTTCAATTTATAAAAAGTCAGATATGATAATAAATTCCAGTTACCGTGTATAGCACGAGATGGCTGTGCGGGGTGAGCGCGGCCGCCTCCGCCACGCAGCCCGCCGCCGCGTGCGTGCGGTCCAGTCTGCAACATACATTATTTACTGTAATCTACGTAATGGTAACGTAGACATAAGGACCATTGCCCGACATTTACAATTACAGATGCGTTGCCTACCCTTCATTGACAGAGAAAGAGATGCACATAAACAGGATATTTCCCCTTCCTATGCATCTCCTCCTTCGTTTTTTTTTATAATATAAGGTGGCAAACGAGCAAGCGGCCATCTGAATCCACCGAAATGGAAAGCGACCGCTGCCCATAAACATTCGCAATTGCAGATGTGTTGCCTACCCTTCATTTACGGAGGAGAAGACGCACATAAAGAGGACATTTTCTCCTTCCTAAGCGTCTCTTCCACCGTCAAATCCACTTTTCCTTCTGATCCTTTCCTCTTAAGGAAAGGGTGGAAAGGGAAAGGGACTAAAATTAGGCCTCCGGCACCACTCATCAGACGAAACGCGGAATTGCTTCCACTTCACGCCTGTCTTCTGCGTGGT